GTACGCTTCGACAAAGTTGCGCGGCCAGTGGACGCCAACCTGGCCAGCGCCGCGCGCAGCCAGCAGTCTATCAGCCATATCTCGCACAGCTGCATAGGTAGGCGAAAATCCACGTAGATCCAGATTAAGTACATGATCAATTATCACCTACTCTTCTAGCTTGGTAAGCTTCTTTGAGTTGGGCTGGCAATCGCGTCGGGCAGGCTTGCCGACGCGTCGGCGGCGGATTGTTCGTTCTGACACGTTATAGATAGCAGCAGCACTGCGATTACTCTGTATCTGACTAGATTCAATAGAGGATATAGCGAGCTGGATATCTGCTTCATTTAAAGCTAACTAACTAGCGTTGCGTTGAGCCATTATGTATTGAGATGAGAGAGGTGCACAAAGTTAGTGGGGTGCGGCGCTCGCTTGTACGCGGCGCTCGCTTGTAAAACACGTTAAGTAATATAATAATCCATCGCACACTTATCATCACTACTGTCACTACACCTACACCTCCAGTTACACCTACACCTACCAATAACCCAATCACACACCCCCTAACCCCCTTTTTTTTCTAATATCTCGCCCCAAGTCTTTCCCCCATTCTAGCGCCTACGTCAACACAATCACGACCACATCCTTTTATTATTGCGTGCATCGAATTTGTTCTATATATATATATATATATATAGCTGGTTTATTATTCACTATACTAATGCAGTATACACTTACGCCTCGCAGGGAGACACTACGGTATACAAGCTACATCGCATCTTGGGGTTCTCGCCTGTGAGGGGTGGTAGTGGGGGAGCAGCTTGGAAAAAGGAGTCCAAGTGAATTAAATTGTTATGATATTGTTATGCTGTTCTAGTGTTGGTCACGTAAATAAGGACAAGTAGGTAGCTAAGGAGCTTGAAAAACAGCGGTTCTTCACCATCTGTAGCTATGTAGCTAAATGGCCCAGTACAGAGTTTCTTTGGAGCTTCAGAGTGTTGATTTAGTCTTACAAGTCAGCTACTATATCAACACGTGACTAGTCTTAAGACGAGGTCAAGTTTGCATTATTCCGTCTACTGTCGCCCAGTAGGACCAGGTGGCGGTACAGGCTGTCCCGCAGGCCCTACATCCTCCTCTCCGCTGCTACCAGTCCTAGCCGTGGGTTTTGTTTCCGTCGTAGGCTCCTTGGGCTCACCCCTTCCATCTGGTTTTGGCGGTGACTTTGTGCCTGGGCCACCGCGCTTCTGCCAGTCGAGCCACGAGCCGCGGTACTCTCCAACATTTAAATATCTAACCGCTGTCAGCTCCCCATATCTCGCTTTTCGGTTTAAATTATACTATAGAAAAGGAGGGGCTTACCCGGCTTGTCTCGCAATACCTGCCGCAGCTGAACTTCGCACCCCCGCTTTGCAGAAAAATACCACTTCCTTTGCCTTGGGCGGCTTCTGGAATCCAAAGCGATCCTCGAAATCTTCTTCGCTCAGGAGTAGCGCGTCGGGCTGCGATGTGACGGGGATGTTGATGGAAGTGGGAATCGTGTTGGCCTCGAACTCATGCGGTTCGCGCACATCAATGAGAAGGCGGGAGTCGGAGGGGTGTTCGAGGGTGTGCAGGACCTTGGATAATCAGTTGTGATTTGGAGGGGAATCAAGAGTCTGCATACGTCTTCAAACTGGTAGACTTTGTTTAGCTGCACATCGCTTGGTGCCTGCGAATGCCATCTCTTCTGTACAGTCGCTACTTGCAGTCTCGAAGGACCTCGCGGCGCTGCGACCCTGTTCTGCGATACACATGTGTGTTGTTGTCGCGACGCAAGACTGAAAGTGTATGCAGTGTTGAAGCTCAATCGCGAAGTTTGTCGCCCTATGACCGAGGTATTTGAGCGGGCGCCGAAGAGTTGGACTGCACGTTTGGAAGCCATTGTCGCAATATCGCGGGCGCGCCAGGTAAATATCGAAACAGCGATTACGAGTCAATGGTGGAGAACTCCGGCGTACAGTGTGTTCTGTGGCAGAGGTGCTGGATAATGTAGCTGGAAGTGGAGAGATGACTTGCGCTCGGATATAGCCAAATTATTGCCGACGTCACTCTTCGCGAACGCTGGGGCGTGCCACCCCACTGAGCCCCATGACAGGGCCGACGTCTATGGGCGTAGGCAAACATACCAGGCCAATGAAGAAGATCCTGGACAAAAGAAGGACGATTCGCATTTGAACAGAGTTGAGTAAATATATTGATGTCAAGTATGTACAGGCACTAGCCAAAAAAAACAAACATGCCGAGTCTATTGTAATGCAGGGGAACCACTCACCAACGCCAGCGTAATTGAACAACACAATTGACGGGTATTAGTTACTTCAAAGGCAATGCGACTTACATTAAAAGGGTACTGAGTAAAATGGACCCCGATAGGTTGGCTGTTTGTCAGTAAAAGCATCAAGAACTAGGCTTCCTCATTGCGCTCGACATCCAATCCGCGCAATCTCTGCGACAACAAGCCCGCACTGGGGGGACTGTTTGGACTACTCATAGGGGAAAATGCGTTTCCACCATAGCCAACATCGCCTTTGTTCAGTTTTTCAAAGGTGCCGTCACCTGGAGTGGCCAAGCGATTTACACCAGACTCTGGGGATGTGACTGGCGTCTTGAAAGGACTCTTCGGGTCTACGTCTACGTCCATGTGGTCACGAGAGACTGGTCGTGACTCAATCGCAGCCAGGCGGCCAAGATTAAAAGGTATGGGCTGTAAATCGGGCATGGGCGAGCTGAAGCTGCTCGATGCTGATGAATTCGTCGTACCACCGGTGAACTTGACCGCTATGGGAGGCATGGCTGCATGGTTCCTCAAGCCGTCGAGTTGATCGTATGCTTGTTGACAATGGGAGCGTGGCCATCCAGCACTACGACGACGCAGATATCCTTCTGCAGAAAGTTGAGTTCCAGCCGAGGCGGTCTTTTGCGACGCGAGCAAGTCTCGTGTCGGTTTGTAGGTACTGTATCTTGGGTCTGGCTGTTGGATTTCGTTCCTAAGCTTCTCCTTGCCATCCGGTACCCTGTTGGCAAAGACAACGCGTATGCTTTTGTATAGGTAATAGCGACCCTTTGACGGGCAACAAATGTGTAAATGAATCAGGTAACGCAGGATTGGGCGATCGTTCGGGTCATCGGATCCGCTGAGAGCAGCTTCTGGACGATCGGTGCCCAGGTTTTTGCGAGAAGAAGCGGGCATATCGATGATAGGCCCAGCCGAGTAACTGCGCTGCCTGACAAAAGTCTTCTGACCCGGCTCCATGTCCGAAACATCGTATGGGACTAGGAAAAGCTTCACCGCCGTCTTATTTGGGTTCTTCAGGACAATCTGAAGCTGGCCCTGTGGCGGGATGCGATAGCAACCACCCGGTGGTGCTTTTGGTGATGTGGACCGTCTCTTTTTCTTTTCTCTCCGCCGAAGCTCTCCTTTGACGTCCTGTGCATTCTCTTCATCGCCAAGATGAATCCGAAAGTCTAGGTCGTCTTGATCTGGAGCGGGCACAGCATGTCGTCGCTTGCGCTTGCCAGGTTCGTTACTTTCATCAGGGGCTGGCAGTGAATTCTCCAAATCTATGAGGCCGACATAAGGACTCGGCTCGTTGTCTGAAATCCTGCCGTTTCCCGTGTTATAGCTGTAGAAGACTGCTGGAAAAGGCACTGTGACGTGAGGTGGGCACTTTAGGCTTGACTTGCACTGCCCTCGTCCCAGCACGCCAATCTTGGCGACAAAGTCAAGGGGCCGCGAAGGAGTCGTAGACATGCGCCCTCGCAATATAGACTCTTCGTATGAACCTACCATGGGTGCATGCTGAAGTGGGGATGCCTCGGATGAAAATGAAGGCCGCCGCGGATTGAGATATGGTGCGTGCGAGAAAGATTGAGACTCTGACTGGTTGAACTGCATTGATCGCCGCGGCTGGTGCGCCTGGTATGGTATCGAGTTACTGTGGCGTAGATGGCGAGCGGCAGGCGTTCCATTTGTAGCATGGGCTGTCCGGGTAGTCTGGTAGCCATGGAAAGACGCAGGAGAGTACGTGTGCCGGCGACTGTTTCGGCTGGGACTTGGGGAGCCCTGTCGTGAGCTCGGCCGGGAAGAGAAATCCAAGTCCGTGTTATTTGCCTGCTGGACAAGCGGGCTTGTTGGAGGCAGAAGCGTAACCGAGCTCAGTGATGATCGCGATGTCGCCCGTGGCCGCAGGCCTGTCCGACTGTCGCTGCTGTGTGGTTCGACATGTTCACCACCGTATTGACGCGTATGATAGGCAGCCGATGGAAAAGAGCGGTCCCAAGGTACCACTGGCGATGTCGCCAGGAGGTCGGCAGACGAGACATCACAGTTCGAAGCGTATCCTATCCTCTTCTCTCTAAAATCTCCCGAGTGCAATGCTGAGCGGGGGCGCTCGATCTCCAGGCCTGCCAGCGCAGGGTCTCGCGGGTGTTCAGGGGTAGAAGTGCGTGAGGGTTGCAGTTCGGCAGCAGGAGTAAGAGGCGTTTTTGAGCGGTCACGCGAAGTCGGTCGGATGGGAGACTCGAGTTCGTTTGTTACGTCACTCTGGGCAGGATTAGCAACATGTTGCTGGCGAGACGGATGGGCGCTGCAGTCCCAGTCTGGTCCAGGTCGCTCAGTACTCACACCTTGCCACTGCAGCCATGCAGGGCTGTTTGTCTTTTTGATTCTTTCCATCCACTCCTTCCTGCCATAGCCCGATGCCTTGCCCTCTTGGCTGGGAGGCTCAGGGTCGGGGCTGAGCGACGATCCGGGAGGCGTCGGTCCTTTTGCGCGCAGATTGCTGCTCCACCCCCTCTCGTCGCCAGATTCCGTGCTTCCTGCTCTTTGAAGGCTGGCAGCCAGCGGGTGGGGTGAGACTGAGGGAGCGGGCGGGCCATCATGAGGATCATGAAATATGGGCATGGCTGAAACAGATGGTGGCAACAGACAGCATGAGCACGAGGTTGGGGCACGTCAGAGCATACAGACGGGGCGGTGCAGGGGCGGGGGAGCGTGGTAGCACTGAGAAAGCAGGTGGGAGTGCGAGTGACGGCGGCGACTGAGGTTGAAGTGGTTGGAGCACCTGCTGGCCCGGCGAATGGTATGAGTAAGAGATTCGAGTTTAACCCGGGTGCGCTGGCTCCAGTGGCAGCCTCATGGCACCGTCATAATGCCCAGTCTGGAGGATGAAACGCCGTGGAGCCCGCCGACTGGAGGCGCGGAGAGGGCAGCACAAGGCCTGGACGGATGACGCGCTGCGAGCAATCTTTGTGCCCGCGTTCCTAATCGCTGCTGATAAAGTCGCGCGAGCGGCCAGGCCTGGTTTGGCCGACGCTGTGGCGCTATGATGCGCACGGCGAGGTCACCCGACGAGAAAAAGAAGGCGGTTGTCCGACAATCGCTGACTGCACGTCCCCACGCCGCGAGTATGACTGGATCTGGAAGAGGTACGAGATGGAGGGGCATGGGAAAGGGAGAGGGGGAGAGGGGGAGAGAGGGGGGGAGAGAGTGTGTTGACGCGCTGCCGCCCGGGCTGGCGGGGTCCGCTTTGCCAAGACTGACGAGGTTCCGCGCGCCTGGTGGCCCTGGTCTCTGCTTCGCCCAAACTTTTGCGACACCACGACAACTTTGCCTCGATGGCTGCAAAACGACCCCACGAGGGCGGCGCCAAGTCGTCGGCCAAGAAGCAGAAGAAGGGCTTCGCCATTGGGCCTGCCAACCTGCCCGATGGCACGCACAGGAGAAAAAGTGCGTCTTTGCTGCCCGTCCGCTGCACACTGGCTAACTGCGCACAGTCGAGAAGATCAAAAAGAGTCTTATTCAAAAGGCCAAGATCAAGAAGCAGTATGAGAAGTTAAAGGCCCGCGAGGAAAACGAAGGCACTGCGCCGCGCAAGTCTGTCTACGACCGCCAGGATGGCGATGAGAATGGCCAGGAAGAGCCCTCTGAGCCTGCTCCCGAGCCTACGCTAGAACCCCACCCGGATCGCATTGCTATGCTGGAGGAGAAGTCGCCGGAACCGAGGAATGAGCAAACTTTTGAGAGGCGCCAGCGGCGGCCGCGCCCCCAGCCCTTCCAGAAAGAGAGTGCATTGGCGGAGAAGAAGAGGCAAGAGGCCGAGGCGCGCCAGAGGGCGAGGGAAGAGGCGGACAAGGAGCGCGCGCGCAAGGCTGCTGAGCGAGAGCGCTTCAGAAAAACAATGGCCAAGGCAAGAGGTCCAAATGGCCAGAGGAAGCTGGGCCGCGAGAGTACCGTTTTGCTTGCCAAAGCACAAAGGCTGATGGGCAAAACGTGAAGCGTCTTGCCAGTAGACAGCGACACTACATTCTGGAACTCTGGACCACGGACATGTCTGTATGAGATGCCATCTGCAAAGCCCACGCTTTCTGTAGGCTACTAGAGGACGTAGTCACATGGATAGGCCGTATACTCGCCACCTTGATCTGAACGACCATGCTCTACATATAATAGGCCGCGGGCACAGTTGCGGATGCCGGTCAGCATTTGGGCGTGGGCGTGGGCATGGGCGTTTTCAACGGATATCGGATCTGCAAGCTACCTTGATGATTTGCAACTATGCTCCGCTTGTTGCGGATATCGGAACCGCTGGTGCGCTCGTTTGACAGCACGCGACCGTCTGTTAATTTGGAATCGCTATCTCATGGATTAATATAGTATCCTGAAATCAACGCCCTTCTCGAATGGTTCACCGAGCACATTTCCTGAAAGAAACCCCGGGCACAAATTACTTGTGAATGCACAACTGGCGCCGTGTCATGTACATACACAGCCATGGAATAAGAACGAGTGGGTCGAGGCATGCAAAAGTGCGTTCTGAAAAATACCGCTGCACGCGGCACACATGAGACTAGCGGCTTTGGTGTCCCGGCTATCCGTATTTAGTCGCCCTTTGGCTGCAGTCGCCTTGAACCGGATATGCCGTCGCGCTTGTCCAATGAAGACAATTGCCCGCACTACCCGCCGCCTGACTCTGTCTCCATCCTTGCTCTCTGCGCCGTACAACTACAGCTCTTTGCACGCCATGGCACCAGTCCAAGCTTGGTTACGTACATGTTCGCTGCTATCAACATTCTCTCTGTGGGCAGTTGGACATTAGGCCATCGAGCTACACCGACGTCGGCACAACCAAGCAATGGTGGCGGGACCAAGGATTCCCTCTTACGCATGCCTTGTAATAGTGGATATATCTTACCACAGCTTACACTTGCTTCCTTGGAACAGGAAGCAATCCATCTTGTGCAACGCCCACACCGTGTCCTGAGTGGTCGTCACAAGGCATCCCAATAGACACAGCCCATGGATCCACAGTGGTCATTTATCAAGCATGGTAGCTTGCCCGTCACATTTCAAGACTGCCAGCGGAATGTTTTTCTCGACTCGAATTTCGCACCTACAAGTAATTTTTCATTGATCGAATTGACCTACAGCTCAGCGATTCTTGCACTTGTCTAAGTACAGTACACTATACACACGTCCATCTGGTATGTTGGATGAATGTGCCACTCATCACGTGTATGCTATCTTTGATCTTATCTTTCATCATCTCAGGATACTGGCAAACCCATAACCCAAGCGGATTCCAAAAGACATGATGGTATCAAACAGCGTCTCCGCCTGATCCACGGTGCCAACAGGCATGCCAGGCACGTGGTCTGAAATACGGCCCCCAACACCTCTTGGCATGTCGTGTGGAGCAACAAGCTCATTCTGGCCCGGCAGCTAACTTGTGACGGTCCTCGGTTCGTTTAGCGGTGAAACGGGGGTGCATGCAGCCTTACTTACCTACACGGCAACCCACACCAGCCTTCTTCTGGAATTGCTTGAAGGGGGCTGTACAACACGCGAGGTGCGTTAGCCCTACTACGCGCACGCGTCACCACGGGCAAAGCCTCGTTAAACCGTGCATGGTCATTCCTCAGTTTCCCCGAAAAAAGGTTTGCCTGTGAGGTTCAACACGCAACATACTAGCCAAACAGAGGTGTACAGTATGCAAACTTTCAAAACCACCACATCTTGGCATTCCAGTCTTCCCTTTTTACGATCCATGTGCCGCCCCATCCCCCATCTTCCGGCATACCCACATGCCGCTCCTTGCCAAGGTTTTACCGCTGCCCGGTATACTGTGTTGCGCCTTAAAACCAGGGCCAATCCTTGTGGCATGGAGGCTCAGATATCCAAAACATTCATTTGCCGCTATTACTACTACTCCATCACCAACCCCCTGACCTCAGCTATTCGTCGGCCTTTGCTCCCTCTATTCCCCCGCAAATACTTTACACGCCTCGCCGGACCACACACAAACACAAAGGATAGAAACTACCATGGAATCGTATAGTCATCCGCCCAGGAAATGGTCACTATCAGAAGACCAAAAACTACGAGAAGGGGTTGAAGCCCAACGTGAGTCATGACCTTGTACACAGTCAAACAATGAAATTCCTCGCTCTCAGCGTGGTAACCGTGACGGTATGACTCCGAGCATTAACTGAACTTTACAGTGCGAGAAGGCGAAGTTAAAGATTGGTATGCTTCGACTTTGCTTGTGTAGATTTACATGTCCCCATCTGACTCGATACGCAGGTGCATAATCGCCGAGAGTCTTCCTGGCCGAACAAACAAGGATTGCCGAAAACGGTGGCACAATTCTGTAGCTGGGGGACTGAAGAAGGGGCAATGGTCAAAGAGCGAAGACGAATTACTATCACGCGGGATTGAAGAGTACGGTCAAAAGTAGGTTAGCATGGCGCAAGCACTTGGAATTTTGGCTGATGGATTCGACTAGATGGACAATGGTTGCAAGCTGTGTTGGTACAAGAAGCGCAGACCGTATTTATTCCATGTACACTGCAAGACTGATACATGCTGATATCTAGCAGAGTGTGCCAAGCGGTGGCAGCAATCGCTCGATCCCAGCCTAGACCGTAGCACATGGCGCGATGACGACGTGAGTTGACTATTTTGCGAGGTCTGCTAGTTTCTACCAACTGACTTGATATCTCAGGACACGACACTGATCGAAGCAGTACAGCGGCTAGGGCGGCATTGGAAAGACATTCAGCGCGAGCACTTCCCCGAGCGATCTAAAAACGACATCAAGAACCGGTACCTTATGCTCTCCACCCCCAAATCAAGAATACGTATCACTGACAGCTCTAAAAGCTACACCGTCATCGTCCGGCGCTACAAAAACCAAGGCATCACCCTCTCCCACGCACCGAGCTCTCCCTCAGACAGCGGCACGCCCGCGCCACGCTCCAGCTTCGCGGATGACGACACCGGCTACCTGTCTCCCAGCTCAGGGATATTCGACTCGCTACTGCAAACACCATCATCGCAACGGGGCCACCGGCTGTCATGGTCAAGCTTCGATAACGACGCATACTCGACGTGGTCCTCGCAACAAGCATACGCCATGCCCGATGCAACATCACCCACACAGCACCAGCACCAGCACCAGCACCAGCACCACCATCACCAGCACTCACCATCAGGAGCAGCGCTACCTCAGTATGCCTATACGCAGCCACCACCATTACCAGCAGACGCGCACCCGCCGTGGAACCACCAGCACCAAACAAGCTCGCACCCGTACATGCAGCACGCAGCACCAGCAGCATCATTGCACATGGAAGTCCCGACCAGCCCATCGCTCTACGACTACACCGGGTATCCAGGCCTCGCCGACCACACTCAGCACCCAATCATGGGCCCAGCCGCGCCTTACACAGCCCCCGCCAGCCAAGCCCCTAATGCCACCATGCCACGTCGCTTGTCGCCTTCAGCGCCCGACCAGCACCAGCGTTACGGCCGCGACCATATCTACCGTGATGCTAGCACTGGACATCATGCCTATTATCCTTCGTGAGGCTGTGTATACAGTACATACCCACCCCCTTCCCCACTGGGCGGGGACTTGGCAATGTTTCCGTTTGTTTGATGTATGTATGTATGTATGTATGTATGTATGTATGTATGTATGTATGGAAATTAAAGCTCTACGTAGCTCGGGGATATGCGATGTGATAAGATGAGATGACAAAGGGGATTCGGGGATATTCGCATGCGTATTGGAATGAATACTAGGTAGGTATTAAGTAGTTAGTCTTTCTTTCTTCTTCTTCTTCTTCTTCTTCTTCCGCATATATTTTCAATACCCCCATTTTCCCCAAGCTACTCTGTACATAGTATATAGGTAACTTTGAAACTGAAGCATCTACGTATATCCCCGTTTTCAAAACAACAAAAAGAAGAAGAAAATACAAGCCTAACCATTCTTATCCCATGTGCAAGTGCAAGTCGAAAGCTTTACTTACTTACTAGCTCACTTTCCCCCCCCCTACTTACTGTACTTAGCTCGTCGCCAAGTGTTTCCCCGAAAAAAAAAACGATGTGCAACAAGGATCAAGTCGCAAAAAACTCCCCCACGGCGAAGCCAAGGTAAGTACAGTAACATCAAATTGGTGCGTGCCCCCTCCCACCCCCAAGCCAACTCGGACGGACTTTTGAGCTATGAGATTTTTGTTCTTTTCTTTTTGCATAGCCTCAACACCGAGTTTAAAACGGGGCGCCTCGATTACCTGTTCGGGACTAACGCCGCGGTTTTGACATGCAGCCAACAGAGCGGATCAGGCATCCCGCGGTGTGCAGTGCCAGTGCACACCAACCCTAAACCGGCTTACATTCCGACTGAGAGAGAAAGAAAAGAGAAAGGGCAAAGGGGAGGGGGGGGATCCGCTTGTGCTCTGGTTTTGTTTCACCACCCCGTGTATGCCCATCCAATCCTATTTGTTGCTTTTGTTTTATCCTTTTCCCTTTTTTTCTTACCCCCAGCCCCCAGCCCCCCCGTGTCATGATGCGTGGAGAACGAGCCACTTAGCTTATTTCCATAGTATAGTATGTACATGTACATACAGGCACGTTTATGTTTCTGCCTTGGAGTAAGCCTGACCCGATGCTGCATGCGAGGCTAACGCATCCATCACACACGACAATCATGGCCGTGATTTTTGTCGTTGAACTGCTGCGCCGCTGCCTGACCCACTGCGTGCATCGTGCCTATGCACCATCGTGTTGCCTGACTGGGAACATCGGGTGTATTCTGTTGCGGATTTGTGCTTTTCCGCATTCCATGTACATACATACTCCGGCTTGGTACACGGTGAAGAGGAAGTTGGTATATCTGCTTCTTGTATAGTAGCCAGGCTTGTATAGTAGCCAGGCTTGTGCCGTGTTTCTGCTTTCATGTGAGCGTTGCTTTCCAATCGATACAACATGTATGTGTCTTGGCTAACCATGTATCTGCGTGCCCACTCCTGGTGGAATCCTATTGCTGCAACGCGTCCGATTTGGAACTAGGCAACCGCGATTCACGCTCCCAAGCGATTTGCAGTCCAGTGATGTATGTATGCAGTAAGAAGAAAATTCGGGGACCACTCCACAAGACGCCGTGTATCCATCCCCCATACCTTGTTGGAGGTTTCGAACCGAAAACCGCATTATTGGTGTGCGATTACTACAATCTCCCATTATTCCAGGCCTGTTCCTGGGGACCCCAGGCCTACGAAGAGGCACTCACATTTATTGCTGCCTCATCGGGCGAAGCTCGTATTCTCGATTTAGTATCGGCACATGAGCATGGCCGTTGAGTGGGTATAGGGCACGCATGTACATACGTGTTCCTGCATGTGTGGCACATGTATATTTAGATGGCGCTTATGGTGGTTTGGGAAACTGCAAGCGTGAGGGATTGCGGTAGGATGGACAAGGTTGGAGCATGAATCGCGTAGTCTATACTGTTTGGCCTCAGAGCTACGTAAAGGATGGATATGATGTCGAAGTGGAAACAGAGAATATTCTTCTAAGCTAAGGCATGCACACTTGCTTGAGCTAATCATGTCATGAAACGTTATGACATCATACTCATGCTCATCTCTCCGTCTTCTGTGCCCGTGATTGCTGATTTGGTCTATAAATTTAAGTTACGTTTCGAACAAGTCGGGCCAACTGACGAATGTACATTGGCCTATCGGAGACGCCGACGCAATGAGAGCCTTCATTGGATAGTAGAGCATGTGACAAGCTGCCAAATGCATGGGTGTTTCACGGATTCCTTCTACAGTCCTTCCTTTGATCCATAGGAGTGGTATCCTACATTTACGCCCTTCCACCGTAGCGAGCGGGCCATTTACCCACACATTGGATGCGGAAGGAACCCCATCGCTACTGAAATACCCAGTGCAAAGCGGAGGCCAGCGGGAACATGGTGTGCGGCGGCATCTTTAGCCTATGCTGACTGTTGCAGCCATGCCGAAGGATCTTGCATCTTACAAGGGTTATGCTTTCAACCTTGGAGTATGCCTTAGCAAGGATAAGCGAGATGAACGCGTACACGGCATGTGCAGAAGCTAAGCTTTCTCGCCAGCAAGGCGGGATGGTCCGACTATGGAGGCCTGATTCAAAGGATCCTCCCGCCGGTTGTATTAGCATAGAGCCATTGCCTCGGATGCAAAGCAACTGCCCATGATCCTTGGAATCCTAGTTTGACTCTTTAGGCAGGCATTGCTGCACTGTGGACTGACTCTGATCCTTCCGCTACCTGGCGGACATTGTGCTTTTGGACCGAAAGTGACCGATTCTAGCCATTCGAATAGCACAGCCTCGCCGAGAAGTAGTTCCAAACATATCAGGCGCCATCTTCCGTGAAGTCCATGTTGAAACATCTTGTTCAAGGTCAAGACGTGAAAATGCTAGTCGCTGGCGTTTCATCCAGTGAACAACAGAGACGTCAACATTGACTTCTACTAGTCTCGGTTAGCGCATATAGACTTGTTAAATGGGCTCTCTAATTTCTAGAGTGTAGGACGCGTGGCATGAGCTGTTACGTCGTACAGCAGGTTTCGGCATCTTGACCAATTACTCCGAACAGGCTTACACCGAGAGCAGAAGGTATGATCGCGACGTCCTCGGTGTATATCAGCCTTGGTAAGTAAGAGCATAGATCATTATTTCGAATTTCTCACCTGCTGTACACCTAGGCAACTACTCGTGATGTGCTAGGTTGTCGTGGTATTGGAGGGCTGGTGCTTCAAGATGCTAAGCGAAGCTTGGTGAAAGCAATCGTAGAGTTGAGCAGGGACGCCACGCTTGAATAAAAATGGGACTAGCTTTGACGTCACCATACTTTCATGCGGCAAGAGCAGTCGTGGTCGTGCTCTTGTCTCGTCACCTGACAAACGTGCCACCCGCAATTGCCTGCTGTGCATTTCTGGTTTCAGGGAAGCCCACAAGTCTGCCTCGCGAGATATTAGCAGGACCTCGTCGAATCCCACTTCTCATTCGCCAATCTACCTTCTATAGGCGTTGTGAATTGCCGAGTCACCCATCCACCGATTGCCTATGTGTACAAGCATCGCATCGCACCACCAACCACTTTCATCTGTCATGTCAAGCCATGCGAGGTCTGGCAACGCACTACAGACTGTGATTCTGTACCTAACCACCATCTTGCGCGTCCTGTTCGGTCATGAGGGCACTTTACCCGAGGCATCCAATATGTACTAATTTTGATTTGTAGACGACCTTTCCGTTAATTAACGATAGGAAGATTATCCAACATATGTCTCACAAAGAAACAGCACCTCACAATGCAGAATAAACGCCTAATTCAACGTCAACTTCTCTCCCCGGACTGATTCCAATCATTCTCAGGAAAATATCGCTCAATTAGAAAATCCTCTGATTCAACCAAAGACGTTGGTGATTGAGAAATGACAAAAGCTGCAGCGTCGGTTTCCAGTTCCAAATTGAGAGATATCACTTGTGTCTCAGAGCGCCGATGAGGCGAAAATTCAGATACGGAGCCAGGATCTACTGAATGACTCGGACATATTCGTTGTGAAAAGTGGGTCTACTGGTTCAGAAAAAAAGGCGGGGTAGGCGGGCCATTCGCAATTTTTTCATGTCAACCACTTCCAACCAGGTTTTTTGCACTCCGCATGCCCGCCTACCGAAAGACAGGTTTTTTCTTACATTATATTTTTTGTATCTGCTCCTTCTTCCATCAAAACAGCATCTGCCCGGCTAGCTCAATCGGTAGAGCGTGAGACTCTTAGCTTTCACGTCCTAATCAGACTCGATTGGTTATCTCAAGGTTGTGGGTTCGACCCCCACGTCGGGCTTCCTTTTTTGCTTTTTTTTGCTTTTCCTATGCGCAAAAAGACGAGATCATCACATGCTAGCCAATCATAGGTCCATACATACCTTCTACAAGTTCCTACTAGCCGCTTGAACCGTACGCCAATGAAGATTTTGCTATTTCCTTCTTTTTATGCAGATTCACATTGCAGCCCAATTATACCACAGAAGAAATAGACTGGTAGAGTATTGCCAGCTATTTGATCAAGTCGAACAATGGGAGAAAAGTCAGACATTTTTCTAAACAACCACCGAGTGCCGCTGCCGAAGAGTATATCGCCATAGATCCTCCACCCCCAAACATACAGCACATGGTTTCGCGACTATTGGGACCGGTATTCAGGGGGAAATTTAGTTAATGGGATTGACGTGAAGGAGGGGGGGGGGCATTTACTAGATATCATGTTTAGTTCCGTATTGAAGGCACAACGTCGAACAAAACTCCCACACCTGGACTCGCGTGAATGTAGGATGGCTAATCTGGACCTTCTCTATCTCTTTTGAATGAGGGTTGTTACCACTGTCGTTGAGTATTTAGACTTGGGCTGCGCGCCCCTGATGGCCCCTTCCATCGCTCCTTCTATCAGACCCTCTCAGGCCTTTGGGGTTCTCTCTCTGTGGTTGATAGGACGTTTCACGTCTTTTTTTGTGCTTATTGTTGGTAGAATTAGCATTTCTGGCCGACTCACCGGTAGGCCTCTTTCTACCAGCCGGTTTATTAGAGAGGCTGGAGGCACTTCCCATAGTCCTGGGAGTGTTGTTCGACGCTTGGCCGAAGTTGCTACGTGCCGTTGCCTGTGATCGTGTATACAGATCATTATGATGCGAAAAAAGTGTTCTTTAAGAGTTAAAAAGAAGCACACGAGAAATTTTGTGTATGTGCGTATGTGTGCGCGCGGGTGTGTATGTGGGTAGAAATGACACGCTTCGACCGCACTACAAGTTGATCAAAGGACACATCCTGGGCGTGAAGTCATGGTTGGGAGTGGGCTACACACTTAGCAAACGCTTCTCACCCACAACATAACATGCGATGAAATGACTCTAGGAAAGCGAGGAAACAAAAATAATAACATTCATCTTCATGGAATGCATAACAGTTTCTCCTCAACTCCAGCAGCTCAGGAGGACTACTCGTAGACGCAGTTGCTCAGGTATCACCGTATGTATAGCATGAATATTCGGAGTATGACTTGATAGCACCACGCACAGGAACTCACACAGGCTATAATATATCGATGAAACATGAGGAATATTTCCATCGTCAGCGCCCTGAAGAAGTCAAAGGATGTAAGAAGAGTCAGAGTTCGAGCAGATGTTCATGTACTTACATGAATACAATAATAAGTCACGAAAACACACCACGCTCTTCCTGAACTACATGATGTAAAAATACTTGGAGTCACAGTCCATTCACAAACTTCTTTTGTTCAGGTGCCACTGTATGCACATTACCAATGTTTAGAGTGTGATTTGATCGCGCCACGTGCAAGGTACATGCGGGCTGGACGATGTTCAGAGTAAAACATGTGCACGGGGCTAGATATAGCTATCCAGGATCTTGTTTGTCTTGTGCAAAAATGCTAAGAATGCGATAAGGCAGTGGGATATTTTTATTCATTTGAATGCGGGAAGGTGATAGGAGGGGTTGGTGCCGCGCGTCTAAAATGTGAAACATTCAAGTAGGTTGGTGTTTCTCGGAACACGGCGTCTAAAAGTTCCCACATTAGCAAAGTATTTGAGAACATATCCAGCATCTTCGGAAACGAAAAGCCGAAAGTGCATGGGTATCTTCGTAGCTCAGCCGTGTGAAGTCTGGTGGTATCGCATCGGGCATGACCAGAGATTTGCGAATGGGGCGCAGCACGGACCAAATCATGGTAACCTGCATGGACGCGCAATGACCTAGGACGCGCAATGACCCACCCCACTAAAAAACCTATTGCAAAAGATGAGGCTGTACAGCCACCTATAGTCGCTATTATCACGAGATTTTATAGTGTTGTAGTAATTATAGCATTGCGATTATAATAGGCTACTTGTATCTACTTAGTAGCTTGGTGGTGCGGCCATAGCAGGTGGTCTAAGTTAGGACGGCTAGTACAGCCACCTCAGCTTGTACATGAGATGAATCAACAACAACACGTTTCTGACGCTTCTGCTTTTGAGAAGAGCCTTGTGAGGCTTTGCGCTTACCCCTTTGGGATAATTGTATAGCTTTTTCAGCCTCCTGGGCTGCCTTTTGAGCCTCCTTTTGAGCCACCTTGGCGGCTCTCTCCTTCTCTCTCACCTCCTTGAGCCTCTCTCTCTCAACACGCTTCTCCTGGGCTATTTGAAGCTTGTACAATTGAGCTTGTCTCCTTAACTTAGATCTCTTAGCTTTCTAGAGTTGTAATTGCTGTTGTTCTTGTTGTCGTTCTATCTTATCCTTTTTGGCTTGGCGAACCTTCTTAGGAGACCAAAAGACAGCTCCTCTATAGTACTCCTCAGGCCTATTAAGTTAAAGCGTGTAGCTCTTCTTTTAGTGTCTCTTTTTAACCTTTAGAGCCTCCCTTAAGCCCTAGTTTTCTCCTTTGAGTATACTATTTTAAGCTGAGAGGTGATGGAGGCTTCAGCGAAGCTTTTTTACCTCCTTATTATTAAAATCCTTCACCTCCCGGCGTATAATAGACTCAATTTTGAGCCATTTATCTCCACTAAGGACAGAAGAAGAGCTTTCATCTGAACTAGAGGCCTCTTGTTGGAACTTTTGGAGAATAACCTCAGCATTTAGTGGGTTAATGCCAGTTGCCTTAAAGGAGCTTATAATAGTCTCCTTTCTAAAAGCTGTACCCCAAGCCCTCTAAAAGAGCTTAAAGAAGTCTCCTTTTGCTAGAGGAAGGATTCCATGGCTCTAATAGAGGAAGTTTGACAACTCCTTTGAGTAGGCTGACGCTAGAGGCCCAAACATCCCAACGTTAAGAGGCTAAAGCCTATAGGTTGAATAAGGAGGATATACAGCAACTAGAATCCTATAGCTATTGCAATAATCTAGAAAATCTATAGTTACATAAGATAAGTGGCCATCAACAATAAGTAACTAGTACCCAGTTTAAGCGTAGCGTACAGTCTCTCTTTCAAAGACCTCTTTAAGCCAAGCTAGGCCTATATCATTATTAGTCCATCTAGAGGGCGATGTGTTACACGGGGTTTCCTAACACTATCAGAAACTATACTTACCTAGTCTCGGTCCGGGTTAGGGCGAGGCTATCTTGTGGAAGTATCCGTGAGGTAATTGTCTGGCGATAAGGTGGAGAGAAGTTATAGGAGTTAACCGGGTTGGTAAGACAAACCAATTCTATTGGAAGATAGAATAACTAAGTATCAATCTGTGTAAGAGAAGAACTTATGAGAGTTGACCACAACGAGTGTAATAATGAAATCCAACCCATTCTTATACCCATCGTGTTCTGTCCTGTTCTCCCTCTTCTCCCTTGACATCCTTGTCTTCTGGGAGATGTGGGAGAACGCCTTCTCCCATCCTGGCCCATTATCCCTTCCTTGGCGGGAGAACGGCTCTTGGCGGGAGAACGCATCACGTGACCCCAAGCCCCGCGATGATCATTACCTTCTGACGTGGACGTGGTTGGCCTTCAACCTCGTCGTTCCCCGTCAAGGAGAGAATCCTTCTTGTTACTTGTAACACGATGAGGTAACAAAGACTAAGTGCTTGTTTGGATTAATAGCCTCTACCTAGGCTGATTTTAGAGCTCTAGCATCTAACTAAAAGATAAGAGATAGAGAAAGAGGTGTACCATCTAAGCAGATACAGGCTAGGACTGTAATCCACTCTCTAGAGCCATCCTGTAGGCTTGAAACAACTCCTCCTCTTTCATATTACCTCTTACTAAAGATCCTTTTAGACCTTCTAAGGATTCTAAGTAAGAAGCCCTTTTTATCCATATTAAAGATGTGAGAGGGCTGTATATTGTACTCCTTCATCTTATTGTGTAACAGCTTAAAGTACAACCTATACTTGGTTGCTAAATCAGCCTTGTGACGCTTCTAGTCTATAGGACTCTGCCAGCGAGAGATGAGATAAGAGGAGTTCCTGCAGAGGAACCTAGAAACCCAGCGTTCTGAAACGTCTCTACTAAGCAAGAATGACGCAAGATGGCGTATTATTGGACGCGAAGGTGGTGTACGCCTCTTAGTAAGGGATTTAATGTACTGTACAAGCTTCTTTTCGCGTTGTGGGTGGATAGAGAGGTGGGCGAGCGCGCGAGGCTGAGTTTTGCCTTAGTGTCTTCGAGCGAGCGTACGATAGCTAATGCTAAACCTTTTTGCAACTTGGCGATAGCTAAAAGATGCGCCTAGTTCGCGCGATTCGATTTCTTCAATCGCTTCCTGAATTGGGTCTATATTGGTGGAGTTATGAGGTATTTTGTGTAGGTGTTGAGTTTGGTGGGGTGGGTCATTGCGCGTCCTGGGTCATTGCGCGTCCATGCAGGTTATTCGTTCGTCCGAGCAGCTTTGGTCACTTGGACTGTATTAAAGTAGCCCTTTTGGACCAAGACTGCGATATGACGGCCAATTTCGGCACATATAGCCGCCCTTAGCCGGGCACGAGCAGCCTATCCACCTAACCATGTGGCGGCTACGGTCAGCGCTATGCGAAAGGATGGCCCATTTAAAGCGCGCGTGTGATGTCGCAATCCCACTGGCTCAGCCGCATTCATCCCATCTTGCGCATCCCCCGCCATAAGCCCGCCATAAGCATAAGAAAGCCGTCCGCCGGTAGCTGTCTGGTAGTTCATAAATCCCAAGTCTTCAGATTATTCCTCCGTGCACATTACAAGATACGGCATCATGTCAAACCAGGATTATTACGGCCAAAGCCAAGGGCACGCTCAGGGCTACGGGGCCTACAATCAGGGCTACCCTCCTCAGAACCAGGCCTATGGGCAACAGGAGCATAATCAATATGGCCAAAACAGTCCTACCCGCAAGGACAGGTCCGTATTTTCGCATAACTCGTCTCATCCAGTCTCAGCTGCTAAGAGGGTTGTAGAGCCCTTACCCTCCACCTGCGCATGACCCATACGCACAAGCACCTCATGATGCATACGGTGCTCCTCCACAAGCCCATTATCAGCAAGGCTACGACCAAAACCGGGAGCATTCCTACATGCCGTCTGGGCATCAGCAACCTCCCTACCATGACCCCAACCAACAATACGGAGCACAGCCACAAGGCTATGGTGATCAAACGCACGGTCAACCTGGCGCCGAAGGAGATCGCGGGCTTGGTTCAACTCTCGTAGGAGGAGCCGGCGGTGCGTTCGTGGGTAACAAGCTCGGAGGTGGAACGCTTGGTACTCTGGGAGGAGCGCTTTTGGGTGCTGTTGGAGCCAACATGATTTCTGATAAGTACGCATAATCAACATCCATGGTGGTGGAAAATAGAATACTAACTATGCAAAAGGAAAGAGAAGAAGCACAAGAAGCACAAACACAAGAGGCATGGCTCTCATGGCTCGCATGGTTCGCATGGCTCTGACCATGACTCTCATTCGCATCACTCGCACCACTCACACCATCACTCGTCTGGTCATAGCCACAAACATAAGAGCCATAGCAGAGGTAGGAGAAGCGATAGTTCCAGCAGCGACTCCGACTAGATCTTGGTTATTTACAGGGCTGTTCACTTGGCCTAAACAATAGGATATTCACGTAGTACTACTGACTATGCATTCATAGCAGATATAGTTGTGGGTTTCAGCGGCTGTTGAATACAAATTGTTGTAGTAATTGATCATTTTACATTCGGCAATGAGTTGAGGTTTTTCCTAAAATGATATTTGAAACTCCTGGGCAACGCTTCCAAAACGCATATATTAGAATGTAAGAGTGATTTTTTTTGGCATCCAAAGGTCACTTCGCAAAACCTAGAAATTCTGGGAATATATTTCTGGCCATCTTGTCCAAGTGTATGGAAACGGACGTATGCTAATGATCATCCACAGAATTCGACGCAGGTCTATTGGGCCCTGGCCTATCCCAATCAGGCTAAGCGCACTGCAGCCCTTTTTCTCTACCGAGTCACTCATCGCCGCCGCAAAATCCAAAACAGCCCCGCAACGCCCTTGTAAAGTTGCAGAACTAGTTCGCCAGATATTTTCCCTGCCGCGAAAATATCTAGACTACTTTCCAAACCAACTTGCAGCATCAAAACCATGGCAGACGTATTTTTGAGTTTCTTCCGCAGTGCCCTGCCCGAGGAACTTGCGGCGGTAATCGAGACTACCATCAAGGCAACCGAATCAGGGGACTTCCAGTCTGTGCTTCAGTCGCCAGAAGCACAGATATTGCTAGGCCACCAGGACGACGATGTTACCAAGGACGTCAAGAGAAGCGACTTTGAACTTTGGAGCGACTACATTTCCCATCGCCTGGGGTTGATACTGTCAAGACAGAACGAGGAGTCAACTCCCATAAACGAGACAGCACTATACCGGCAGCACGTCTACGTCCTGGTCGCAATCGCGGCATTGCATGCATTCATCCAATCGAATGTCACGGGTCCTCCATTACCTTTCAAGTCGGCTGAAGTGCTGCTGCCAAAGGATGCCGTAGCTGATGCCAAAGCCCTGAGCAAAACGCGCGAAGAGCTTGTTGCATCACTGAACTCGGACGGTGTTGCAGCGTACAGGCTGACTCCTAACATCGAGCTGTTGTGCTTGGCCAAAGCCATCCTCAACAATCCGATAATCCAGGAAAACGTCCCAGTGTCTACATGGGCTAAGCTAAGAGTGCACTTCCTGCAGCAGCGACTGCTCAGCGAGCCAGCGCCAAGCCTGCAGGACGCCATTTACAATGACCTCAAGACCGTAGAAGACGTGATCCAAAACTCAGGAAAGAGCGGGGAAATCAAGGATCTGTACACCACCTTCTTGCTCGAGCGGGCAGCTATCCATACGCATCACAGCCTGGATAAGAAGGCCCGAGCGGATCTCGACCAGGCTACTGCTGCGCGCAAGTTTGAATTTGCGCTGACGGGGCTGATGGGCAAGAGGACAAAGTTCCAGCAAAAAGACACAAGTCAACTGATTGTGCTCGCCCGAAGCGCGGGAGCAGACGCCAACGGTACCTCTGATGAAGCGTCCAAGCCCAAGAAACTGGATCTGAACGACGACACTTTGCTGGAGTCTATTTCCTTCACCAATGACACCGCATCGACTGAAATCAAGGAGGAATCACAGCTCCCCGAATCACTTACTTCGATGGACCCGTCGAACCAACCGCTGCTTGATCCACTCGACTCCATCATCATGCTTTCGCTGGCTGAGAGTATCAAGAACACCAATCCTGCTGATGGCCTCACGCGAGAGCAGACGGAGCCGTATGCCACGCGGGTTATAGAGGGTGGAAGCTCAAACTGGCAGGTCTACACACAGGCTCTCCTCGTGCGAAGCCGTATTGAAGGATACAAGCCGCGCACCATGGAGCGGGGCCTACTGCAATTGCAAGCACTTGTCGACCAAGTCATTACAGAGACATCAGGGGATGGTACGACGGATGCAGAGACAGGCGAGAAGATTACTTCTTTCCTGCCGCGAGCCAAAGAGGAAGAGTCTGCCCCGGTCGAAGAGCGTCTCCGCTACGTCTTCCCGCTTTGCGCGCCGTCACGATGGGAGCTGGAGGCTGAGCTTGCATCGCGTTGGGTTGCCCTGGGTGGACTGCGATCGGCGCTGGAAATCTACGAGCGGTTGGAGATGTGGGTTGAAGCAGCACTGTGCTATGCCGCTACGGAGAAAGAAGACCGGGCACGCAAGATGATTCGAAGACAACTTTTCCACGCCACCAACGCCGATGACGAGAATGTAGACATGGACGCTGAGAAATGGGAGGGAGCCGAACGAAACCCACCGCCGGCTGAAGCACCACGCTACTACTGCATCCTGGGAGACTTGGACAACGACCTCTCCATGTACGAAACAGCATGGGAAGTGTCTGGTAAACGGTATGCTCGGGCACAGCGCTCCCTCGGACAGCGCTACATTGCTGCGCGCAACTACGAAAAAGCAGCCGAAGCGTATTCACTCTCACTCAAGATCAACTCGCTCTACCACCCCGCGTGGTTCGCGCTCGGCTGCGCCTACCTAGAAGTGCAGCAATTCAAGAGCGCCGTCGAGGCCTTCTCGCGCTGCGTGCAACTCGACGACCAAGACGCCGAAGCATGGAGCAATCTCGCGGCTTCGCTCCTGCACCTCCGCCCCAAGGTGACGGAGAATGCAGACGGCGAACTCCACGAACGAAACGTAACCAACCACCCGCGCACCGATGCGCTCAAGGCCTTCAAGCGCGCGGCAGCCATCAAGCACGACGACTACCGCATCTGGGCCAACGTGCTCGCTGTCAGCACGTCGACGAGCCCGCCGGCGTGGAACGACGTGGTAACGGCGCAACGGCGCATCTGCGAGCTGCGGGGGCGAACTGACGGCGAGAAATGCGTCGACGACGAGATCCTCGACATGCTGGTCAAGCACGTCGTCTCGGCGGACGAGGGCTTCGACGTTTCGCGCCCGGGCCTCGCGCGCCTGGCAAACGACCTGATTGAGAAGCACGTCAAGCCGCTGATTACCGTGTCGCCGAAGCTCTGGATGGTGCTCGCGACGCTGTACACGCACACGCGGCGGCCGTCGTCGGCGCTCGAGTGCCATGAGAAGGCGTGGCGCGCAGTCACGGCGCAGCCCAAGTGGGAGGCGGGCACCGAGGCCGAGTGGAAGGCCGTCGTGGCCATGACGCTCGATCTGGTCGATGCGTACGAGACTTTGGGGCCGCGCGACCGCACAGAGGGCCTCGCTGCGGGCACTGGCGAGCTGGTCGCCAAGGACTGGAAGTTTAAGAGCCGCAGTGCCATCAGGAGCGTCATGGGCAAGGCCAAGGACTACTGGGAGGATACACCGGGGTGGGAGAAGCTCGTCCAGAGGCTAGACGAGCTCAAGACGAGGGAGTAGGGCCTGTTTGGGAGATGAGAAGAGTTTCAAAGTACAAATTGCTCGCATGCTTGTCTTGTTCTTGTTACCTTTTTCCCTCGTCTGATGTGCATGTAGACAGACGGAGTTCCATGTGATATGAGGCCCTTCGGTAATTGCCGCGCGTATACTTGCTTCCGAGTACACAAATCATGCTTCGACCTGCATCAATCAGGGGCGAGGGATTGACGCGGCATGGAATGTGTTGAGAAAAAAAAAAGCGGGTAGTCAGCCATTGGCACAGAATCCACCTACTCGACGTAATCACCACGTTTGCAGATCTTGGTCACCGCGCAATAATCCCAATTTCAAGCCCAACATTCTGACATTACTAAGCACCTAAAGTCAAAAGCGTTGACCAGAGCCCGTGAAACATATATCTGGTGAGACGTCACACACAGTTGCGCTATCAAAAGCGAATGGCATGTCTCGTGGTGGGAAAAAAAGGACAAAGCGGCCAACCAGCGGTGCACATGGCGTCGAGTTAATGGAATTACTCGGACAGCCTATCAAAAGGGTCTTGTGGGAAATGCGTACTGCCTTGATTAGTACAAGTCGGAACGCCCACGGGGGTGCATAATCTGCGGATGAACCTTCCCCCCACATCACGACCTCCAATCGGCGCAGCGGTTGAGCCTGGCCGGTTATTTGGAGGTTTGGGCTTGACGGTGGCGATAGTCGATGAGGACTGGTGTGACGAGATGCAAGAGAAAACCCGGTAACCGGGTTCATGAGGGGTCGGGCTGCACAGCGATCTCGCCATGACTTGGTGGAGTTTGGGTAGGCGTGAGGACACAGTGCAGCTGCGCTAGCGTGAATGTGTGAGTGGTGTCTTGGAGTCAAGCATGACCTCGTGTCTTTTCTGAACTGATACTGTTCATGGGTTCTTGCTTCCATTCGGTTGCTTGCTTGATCAAAGTGGTATGCATTCAGGCGAGATGAAGTTAACCACAAGCTACACGGAGTCGGACGACGCACTGACAGTGGCTTTGTGAATGATAGGTCTGTGCAAGAGGAGCTGGTCCGAGAAACGTGCGTGTAGAGTCTGTGATGAACAACCAAAGCGGTTGGAGCTCCGCATGGCGCAGTGGACGTGACGATGAAAATCTTTGTGTTCAGCCTGTGGCACCATGGCAGCGGCCTATGGTTAGCACGGTGGGAGCACAAAGCCCGTTGGCAAGATTGCACAGGTCGGCCATTGTATTCATCAGGCATGGCGGGATGCTCCATCTTTCAGCAAAGTGCTGCAGGTCGAGAGACGCATCGAGCAACCAGCTGGGCCGGCCAAGTCAGCAAAGACCCTGTACCATGGGGCTCATGATTACATAAAAGCTGACTGCATAAGACCCCAGCCTGTACTACGAGCACTGCGAAGCGTGTTTCAAGTGCTGAGAGCAGCGACCCGGCACCATGGCAAACGTCCTCGTGGCAACCGCTATTCTGATTGTACGCAACCCTGTGCGTTTGCTCACGCTTAAAGGGGCCAGATCAGCAATCTCGGATTGCTCGGGAGCGTCTGCAGTCATCTGTCGGCGTAAAAAGAGGCGTTACGGGGTAGGCGAATGGATGGATTGACTTTGCAGCCACGGAGAGGACAAACGCATCGTGTTGCAAGTATGGGTGACGCCCGGCCTCTTTCGGGAAGTCACGGCTGCGATGGCCCAGCTGCGAAGAAAAGAGGCAAGTTCGCCTTGTAGCGGCGGTGGGCGGGCTTCTGGCATGATGCATTGTGGTATGCGTCTCGATTCTTGTACATGGCAGAGGACGAGTAGACGGGGGCCTAAGTAGGGGCGCGGGGATAGCGGCGTGAGCAGAGAAGGAGTAGTACGTGCAAGTGCCGGTAGCGATGCTGTTGTCAGATTGGCCATGGTGCTCTATGAGGGCACTAGGCGAGCCCTGGCCCTCTAGACTTCAGCTGCTGGTCTGGCAGCGTCTTAGTCCAGCGCAGCGGGATGCCTCGAGGGGAAGTATTATGGTGCAAGCGCTGCAAGGCTAAAGGCCTGTTTCTGGCCATGGGCGGCTTACACACAGCCACGCAAAGGCCGCTAAGGATCGGGTAGGGCCAAAAAAGAGTGGGTAATACGGCATCAGCTTTCTAAGAATATGTGTAGAAAGCTCACTGACCATGTGGCGCTGAGGAGGGCATGAGACCCTGAGCGTGCGGCGAGCACGTGGCGGATGGAGAGCGAGAGAGCGAGAGAGAGAGAGGGAGAGAGAGAGGGAGAGAGAGAGAGAGATGCCAGGACATGGGTGAAGGAGGTGAGGCAGGCGTGTGATGGCGGTGGTGGGCGTAAGACTGTGAGAGAGAAGCGAGGGTGAAGGAAAAAAGGACGAGTCTAGAAGGGCCACGGGGAAGAATCAGCCTCATGACGCGGAAGGAGCGGCGGCGGCGGCGGCGGGCGGGTGCTATTTGTTGTTCCCGATGCGGCGCGATGCGGCATGCAAACAGAAAGAGCGACACAGCTGCGACGCGCCGACCGAGGCAGGCAGGCACGACGGCGAGCGAGGAAGGCGCGGAGGGGCTGGGGACGAGGCGCCGCTGCCATGCCAGTCGACGACGACGACGACGCCCACCACCATGACGACTACCATCCCATCACCGCCATCGCCGCCATCACCGCCATCACCACCGCCCACCATTACAACACCAAATCACACATCACCTCCACCTCCTCCACCATCACAACGGCGCCGGCGCCGGCAGCGAGCACAGCACAGGACACGGCGCCAGGGTCAGCCAACAGTCGGTGCCTGGCGGAGGCGGAGGAGGCTGTCGCAGCGGGGCTTTTCTGGCCATGAGCAGCCGACGGCGACAGGGATGCTGGCCATGGGCGGCCTGCAAGCCACACCAGAAATAGATGCGTCTTCGCTAGCCGGGTGGCAGTTCGTTAGCAGCGGAGGCTACGGCTCACCACACTCCATCCATCCAACCTCGCTCACCACCAGGCCCTTGCCTGGGGCCAAGCTGGGCACTGCTGCGCATTGGCTGCCATGGACCGCCAGCTGCCGTCGTGGGCGACCACTCGCTGCCGCCCACAGCCCTGGCGCCCATCTCCCGGGCCTCAGGCTCATGGCTCGCCCTGACAGCTGTCTGCAGCAGACGCCCCCGGATTTGCTGCTGATGCTCACTCGACTGCTGGGCCGCATGTACGCCAGACAGACAGACACACACACATACAGTCATGTAAATCATCGTCTGGGTCACCGCCGCCCTGGATTCCTGCCCGCCATGCCACTGCTACGCCCGGCCACTGCGTCTACGGCGCCATATCCCCCCTCCCATCATCATCATCAGCACCATCCCCTCGCCTCCACCCCCCCTTCCCCCCCCCTTCCCCCCTCTCCATATTGCCCCCAGTGCTCGCCATTGCCCTCCCCCGTTTGCAATCTTCTCTCTTCGCTCCCTGTCTCGACGCTTTGGCCCTGGCCCTTCCGCATCCGCACCTCGCTTCCATTGCTCACGTCTCAGAGAGAGAGAGAGAGAGCCCGCTCCACGCCGTCAAGGTAGCCACGGCGACGCTCTGCCTTCTCGGGCTGCCAGCCATCGCCCGCTCTGGCAACTGCATGCAGGGCCCGTCGCCATCGGCTCGTCCGGCCTGCCCATCCCTAGCTGAAGCCATCGACCACTGACAGGCAGCCGCCAAACTAAGCTTACGGCCACTTCGCCGTCCTGCGTCATCAGAGGCCTCCCACCAGAGCCTCAGCGCACGGATTCCAGCCGCCCGCTTCCCTTGAGCCGTTTGCATCTCCGGATACGGCTCTAGGTCCTGTCAGGCCCTTTTGCGCGACGTGGTGGTCAACCGTCGTAGTCGTAGCCCACCCCAGTCCTCCCAGCTTGACGGGATCGGTAAGCACCAAACGGTCATCCAAACTCTCCATCCCTCACAGTCGTCGCTCCATTTTCCCTGCAGCTTCGTTGATACCCCACTGCCTGCGGATAAGCCAATCCCGTCGTCTTCCGCTGCCCTGGATCTCGCGCCCGCCGCCTCGATACATTACCATCACTGCCTAGTATTAACTGCCGCCTACCTCCACAGTCCAAGCTTGATATACTCGCGCAGCGCCCTATTACCTCGCGCTCCGCAAGGCTGTCGAGCCTCATGCAGATTGGCTGCTTTTTGGCCCGTGTCTCTCTGCTCCTTTGTCCATCCTGTAAGTTGGCCCATCAGTCACATGGAATTGCGGGTCGCAATGTGCGACATGTCGTAACAAGACACTCACATTCATCTTAGCTCCTGGCATTTGCTCTGAATCACTCGCCATTGCTGCTGGACTGCCACTTTCTGTTCCCTGTTTCGCCGCCAACGACCTGCTATTGTCTGGGCTACAACAGGCGGAGAGCTGAGCCCACCGTGTTTGTCACACCCACACACGCTCAAAGTCGCCCGGGCTCCCGTATGAATCCAGCCCCTGAAATCCCTGGTTGTCTGTCTCCAAGTAGACCATCTCTGCCGACTTCACTGGTCCAAAGATTCATCCACATTGTCTCCAAACCCCCTTCAGTGCCGCCTTTGCCCATAGCAAGAAGCCCTTGTCTGTGGACAGTCGGTAGGCCGCCCACCGCCAACCTTGCACAGTCTGTCACGTTGTCTCTACATCTTTCAAACTGGCTTGCCTCGTCTCTCCAAGTCATCAGGTGCGCACCTCACTACTCGTTTGCGACTTGAGCCGGGTTCAGGACTGCAAGTCCCACACCCCGCTTCTGTTGCCTGCTTTTTTTTTCAACCCCCACTTGCAGGCTGCTTGCTAACATCAACACAGCCTTTGCCTGACAGCCGTGTCAGGCTGCACTCTGGGGGCACTGATAAGAGACTCAAAACACCGCGCCGTGTGGGTCTTTGTAGTGGGTCTCTGGCTGTTGGAGCTGTAGCAACAGCAAAATCACTGTCCATGTCAGGATACAGCAAAAAGCAGCAATATGTGTATGGTGAGTGATGTTTGCCTCATCTGACAGATGTCCAAGGAAGGGCACCTGCCAGAGTTGGGGGGTGCATGAACCTGGCACTGGCCCACGTGCGAACCATCAGCACGTTTGACTGACCACCGCCGTGCAGATGCCGAAGGCACCAGATCAAATCAGGCTGCAAACTACCCAGGCATTGTCCAGCCTGCATTTGCATCGCAGTATACGGGTGCGTCCGCGGGACTGGCCCATGAGCCTGCGAGTGCAGACATGCCCTACCTGCCTAGCTCAACCTACGAGTCACGCGGTGCGGCCAACCATCGATCCGATGCAGCATTTATCGATGCAGGTCTTCGTCATCCCGCTTCACTCACTGCTACTGAAACGGAAATCACGGAACAAATCACTCCTGCACAGGGCACTGCTGGATCTACGGTAACGCTGCAACTACGGACCAACTACGACCTCGAGGCGCATTACTGCGCGTTCATCCTCATGTTTGGCGACGAAAAGTGCGTCGGCGCACTTCAAAAGGTCGAATATGACGACCACGACCAGTGGTACAACTATGTCCTCAACGTCGAGGTGCCCCCATTCCCCCTCACAAACACCTGGGACCCCACCATGATGTTGAAGCTGCAGATTGAGGACAAACTCGGCCGCACCAGAATCCAGACGGACGCAGGAAAGTTCACCTATACCGACATGTCGCCAAACCTGGCCTACCAATCCTCGCCCGAGTTTCCTAGAAAGCGAAGATACTCGGCGGAGCTCAGCGACACGCAGGATTACCCAACCGTCAGCGCTGGGAAGCGCGCAAAATTCTCTCGATTCGCGAAGCCGCATGCGACGTCTGGAGCCTATTCTGGTGTGCAGATATCACCGCTGCCTAGCCATCCTCCACTGTCCAACACGTACGCTCGGAGCAACGGATACGATTCAGCCAAGCAAACAGCCTATGGCTCGGATTTTGCGCAAAAGGGCCTCTATGCCGTGCCTTCAGGCATGAATATGGGCCATGGCGACTACAAACTATCGCAAATATCCCCAAACCTACACTCATACAGCTCGTACGGCTCCACTGCACATGGAGGTCGATCCACTGTATCCACGGCAGCCCCTGTGCTTCCCTCGCCAGCCGCAATCTCAGCGCCTATTCTTGTTCGCGCAACGCATCTTGCACAAGTAAGCGGCGGCAGCTCTTCGACGCAGCCGTTCAACCCATACTCCATGTATCAGTCCAAGGCAATCTTGAAGATTGACGGGGACCTCGACAAGATGAGCAGCGACTGGACTGCAGATGAGCTTGATGCGAAGAGGCGGCTTGTTGAGTTCAAACGGTCGCAGCACGGTAGCACCATCACCACCTCCTTCGCGCCCGTTACTTCAGAAGCACGAGCGGCTCGTAGCATTTGCGTGAGTTGCATCTGGTGGGAAGAAAAGGACGAGCACTTCATCACAAGCGTGGATACGATATACCTGCTTGAGCAGCTGGTCAACGTTCGCTTTACCGTTGAAGAAAAGAACCGCATCCGCCGCAACCTCGAAGGCTTTCGGCCTCTGACTGTTTCCAAGGCAAAGCAAGACAGCGAGGAGTTCTTCAAGGTCATCATGGGCTTCCCCTCCCCCAAACCCCGCAACATCGAAAAGGATGTAAAGGTGTTTCCATGGAAGATTTTGTCTCACGCACTAAAAAAGATTATCAGCAAATATGTATGTTTTCCCTTCCAAGACCCTGCTGCAGGGCGTGAAGCTAACAGTCCTCAGTCTGCCAGTTATTCCTCGACAGCTGGTGTTGGATCGCTGCCTGTCGCGACATCGACATCGACCTACGCCCCAAGCGCCGTCTCGCAGGCAACAATGGACGCGCATCGAAACACATCGCCACAATCAGTGACTGCATCGATTGCGTCAACAGTCTACACCCCTCATATGGCTTCTTCTAGTTTATCCCCCCACCCAAAGATGGCAGCAGGCCTCGACGGGTCAGCAGGACACGGCATGCCGGTTGCTCAGGGGACGCCGCCGGGGCAAAGCATGACTCAGTGGGGCGCTTCCACTCACCAGGTGTCGCCATACCCAGTAGCCCTCACACACGGAGGGCGAGGATCTTGGGACTATGGTTATCTCAACGCCTCGGGTGCTACGGAGATGCCGTCTATCGCGCAGTCGTTGCAGATGCCTCGCCCCAACGCTTTGGCCGAGCTCAGCCACATGCCGGCAAACAGCGCCTACCATCAATACGGCGAAGGCACCACGAGGGTGTAGAGAAGACCAGATCCAGCGACAGGTTACGCAGAGTTACAGCCACGACTACGCGCGGTGGGTCTGGGATGGACGTCGGGTGATCATGTCCGCATGATCCATTGTCAGGCTAACTCGATTGGGCGTGCTGTGCCAATAACCCTCCACACCACTCGTTGCTGGGTTTGCCTCACGCAAATCTGCCTGGTTTCGCGAAGCCACTATTCACTCGTTGGATTTCTTATCGTATCTGTTTTCAGGTGTTGATGGCGGCGCATCTCTTATTTTTTTTTACCTGTTTTTTGACATTTCCCATTTAGACGCATCATACCCCTGGGGCAAGGCAAGGCAAGGCAAGGCGTTTTTGCGGGTTTCCCTTGATTGTTCATCATCGGCTCTCTACCTGCTAGGCGGCCATGGATCTACGCGCTCGACACGAAACGATATATGGTTGATCAGGCGGAGAATCTAGGCAGACGACATGACTACATACCCACGCGTTGCCAAGCAAGGAAACGGTCGAACCTTTTTTTTTCTTTCCCTCCTTTTTTTTCCTGCATGGTCATGGTGTTGTTTTGATTCTTCATGTATTTTCCCCATCATATTCTGCTTCCACATTGCACCCTTCCCCTCCTCCTCTTTCTTTTCTCTCTCCCCCTCCCTAACACCCCCCTTTTTCGGCTCTAGTTACCTACCCATTCATTCATTCAACTATCTATCCAATACCCCTCCACGCGTCATTATTATCGCTATTGTACCTTAGACCAGAACATGTCTTTTTTTCCCTCTCTTTGATCACGGATATCTTGGCTAGCATATATTACCCACCCCCTTGGATGTTGGAGGCTTGCATTAGACACGGCGTAGTGGAGGACACGGGCGGCGTCGGTAGCGTTACTTTGAAATCATCATGTAGTCAAATGGCTAGTCTTTTTGCTACTGCGACCTTGCAATCTCCGCCCTCTGTCTCGCTTTTTTTTTTCCCGAAGTAGATTTCGCGAGACTCATCCTTGCGCTGTTCTAAGCAATCAGAGAGGTACGTATCGTATGCTGTATGGATACATGATGACCTTGTTAAATACCCTCCCTGCACGGACTATTGTTGTATCCACTTCTCATCCACGTGAAGCATATGACATGACGATAACATCGCACACCTCTTTTTTTCTTTCTTTTTTTTCTTTCCTTCACTCTTCTTACCAGATCCACAATATACTCATGCACCTTTTATCCAAGCAAGGTACATATCATGCTATGTAGAACATCAAAGTGAAGATTTATACATACATACATACATACATACATACATAACAACCATAAACAATTACTTCTCTAAACAGTTCTGTTCAAAACGCATCCAGCAGCAACTCAACATGGTAAAATAAACAAGTACATGATTACTTGCAGTAATACTTACTTGGGATACTTCTCCCAGGACCTTGGACCTTGGACCTTGGACCTTGGACCTTGGGAGGTATGTACATATGTAGGCGTATGCGATAACGAGGATGAGAAGGACAAGGACAAGGACAAGGAGAAGCTGGGACTAGACTTGTAATAACATGTTAATCCTCATATATATTCTTTTAGCTGGCGAGGGTCGAGGGAAATGGTATATAAAGTCATGCTATTGTTTGCTGTTGCTGTTGCTGTTGTTGTTGTTGTTGTTGTTTGTTGTGCTTAGACTGAATAAGTTTGCCAGTCTACTTGCTGTACCTCCCCATACCTTTTGTACGTGCCCTCATCGGCTGTATTGTGTGATTATCCCTTGTTGAAAGCAACTATAGTATGCAAAATATGAGTATTCTTCAAGCGAGTGAAAAGGTCAAAGAAGATATGTAGAAAAACAAAAAAAACTTCACTTCATCTCATGATAGTAACATCGACATGGAACAGTGTACCGTAGAGAAGAGAAGGGTATATTCGGGTTTTCGTCTATCAAAAAAACAAAATGTCAAAAACCAACAAAACGCGTGAATAACTCATTAGCTACGTAAAGACATCTCATCTCTCTCTCGTTGGTTTCGTTTTTCGGTTTTCTCCTTGCTTCGTATTCGTTCACGCGTGAGTAGCTCCTGTGCCTTCCTTCTCTCCAGCATCCACATCATGCATAGTAGCGTTAGATGTGGGAAAAGAGAGAAGAAGAAAAAAAAGAGCTTGTGCGAACATGTCATTACCGCATCCTGCATCCTGCAACCACCAAACAAAACGAGAATGTAAAAAAGACACAAACTCAGCAGTCTGAGAGTGAACCTCCTCCCACACACACAAGACACAACACAGCTAGCCGCTTGGCCAGGGTTGCTCGTGCAGCAAAAGGGTATAATGCAAAACAACCAACCAACCTATTCCGTTCCGATTCATTCCATCGTCTCATTCCATCGTCTCATCCCATCATATTTCATTCTGGTTCAAAAAAGGGTCAAGACATTTATTTCTTGCCCTTCTTCTTGTTCTTCTTCTTTTTCGACCCGCTTGGTGTTTGCTCACCGTTCGCCTCGCCGTCATCGTCCTTGTCGTCAGCGGTAGGAGTAGAAGGAGTCTCTGGTTCGTTGTTGGAGTCGGGGGAGCCAGGTGCTTCAACTTCGGTCTCCTTGATGTCGTCACCAGCAGGGGCATCAGCAGTGGCGGCTTCCGGTTCAGTGGCAGCAGGTGTCTCCTCAGCGGGCTTCTCGGCTTCCTTGACGGGCTCAGCCTCCTTTGCCTCAGCCTTCTGAGCAGCGGCGGCCTTGAGCTCCTCTTGTTCAGCCTTTGCCTTTTCGAGTTGCTCCTTGACGGATGCGAGCTCAGTCTTGACCTCGTCGTGCTCCTTCTTCAGAGTCTCCGATTCGGATTGCAGGGAAGCCGTCTTCTCCTCATTCTCCTTCAGGGTGGCCTGGAGGGACTCGAGCGATTGCTTGGCCTCAGCAGCTTCAGCCTTGGAGGCCTCGAGGCCCTTGGTAGCCGTCTCAGAGGCCTGAATAGACTCGTCAAGCTTGGCCTGAAGGGCAGTCAGCTCAGACTCCTTGGCCTTGGCAGCCTCGACGCTTGATTCAAGTTCGGCAATCTTGGTGTCATTGGCCTTGATCTTCTCTTCGAGCTCCGCCTTCTCAGCAGTCGACTTCTCAGCTGATGCCTTGAGGTCTGCAATCTCGGTCTCGAGAGTCTCGGCCTTGGAGGAGCCCTCTGCAGCCTTTGCGGCACTCTCCTTGGCCTCAGCCTCAGCCTGCTTGGATGCCTTGAGCTCCTCCTCGACAGCTTCCTTTGCCTTTTCAGCGGCAGCAAGGTCCTTCTCGAGAGAAGAGACCTTTTCGTCACCAGAGGACTGTGCGGCCTGGAGAGCCTCGGAATGTTCCGTCTCCTTAGCGGCAAGCTTAGCCTCAAGATCGGCGACCTTGCCGGCCTCAGCCTTGGCATCGGCAAGTTCCTTCTCAAGGGCGGCGATCTTGTCGTTGCTGGATGCTTCGGCGGCCTTGACAGATTCAGAGTGCTCGGCCTCCTTGGCTTCGAGCTGGCTAGTCTTCTCCTTGAGAGATGCCTCGAGTTCGCTGATGGTGCTTTGAAGGCTCTCGGTCTCCTGCTTGGATGATTCGGTAGCCTTTATAGCTTCGTCCTTTGCAGCGGTAGCAGCCTCAAGCTCAGCCTTGGCGGCAGCGAGTGACTCCTCAAGTCCGGCGACTTTGCCGGCCTCGGCAGACTTGGTCTCCAACTCGGTCTTTTGGGCGGCAAGGCTGTCTTGGGCTTCCTTGAGACTAGCCTCCAACTCGGACTTTTGAACAGTCAGGCTATCTTGGGCTTCTTTTAGGCTGGCCTCCAGCTCTGAAATTTTTGCGCTTGAGGACTCGGTAGCTTTAGTGGTCTCACCCTTGGCAGCCTCGAGTTCACCCTTGGCCGCCTCAAGTTCAGCCTTTGCAGCAGCAAGAGCTTCCTCGAGTCCAGAAACCTTGCCAGCATCGGCAGATTTGGCCTCCAACTCAGACTTTTGCGCAGCAAGACTATCCTGAGCTTCCTTGAGACTAGCCTCTGACTCGGATTTCTGAGCAGCAAGGCTATCTTGGGCTTCTTTCAGGCTAGCCTCCAGCTCGGCAATCTTTGCACTTGAAGATTCAGCCGTCTTGGTAGTTTCGCCCTTGGCGGCCTCGAGTTCCGATTCCTTAGCAGACAGGCTGTCCTTGGCCTCCTTCAGCGAGGACTCGAGATCGGAAATGGTCTTCTGGAGACCCTCGGCATCGCCCTTGGACGACTCGATGGCTTTGCTAGCCTCTTCCTTTGCCGTGGCAAGTTCAGTCTCCTTAGCAGACAAGCCGTCCTTGGCCTCCTTCAGCGAGGCTTCGAGGTCAGAAACAATCTTCTGAAGACCCTCGGCATCGCCCTTGGATAATTCAACTGCCTTGGTGGCCTCTTCTTTTGCGGCGGTAAGTTCAGTATCCTTAGCAGCAAGGTTGTCCTGAGCCTCCTTCAGCGAAGCCTCGAGATCGGCAATGGTCTTCTGGAGACCCTCGGCATCGCTCTTAGATGACTCGACAGCCTTGCTGGCCTCTTCCTTTGCAGCGGTAAGCTCAGACTCCTTGGTAGCAAGGTTATCCTGAGCCTCCTTCAACGAAGCCTCGAGCTCAGTCACCTTGGTAGCAGAAGCCTCGGAAGCCTTGCTAGACTCCTCCTTTGCAGCCGCCAACTCAGCCTCAAGCTTGGAGACGGTCTCGCGAAGCTCCTCGGCCTCCTTCTTCGCAGCAGCAGTCTGCTCGTCGGAAGAACCCTTGGCGCTCTCAATCTCAGCTTCGAGCTTGCTGACAGTGCTCTGGAGTCCAGCAACCTCCTCCTTGGCAGAGCTGATAGCCTTGGATGCATCGCCCTTGGCGGTCTCGAGCTCAGCGTCCTTGGCGGAAAGGCTCTCCTGCGACTCCTTGAGAGAGGCCTCGAGTTCGGAAATCTTAGCAGTAAGTGAGTTGACGTTGGTCTGAGCCTCCTCGGCAGCCTTGATGGCAGCTTCCTTCTCAGAAGCAAGGGAAGATGAAGACGCCTCGAGTTCAGATGCCTTGGCAGTGAGGCTGTCCTGTGCCTCCGTCAACGACTTCTCGAGAGCAGTAATCTTTGCAGCAAGCTCCTCAGAGTCGCCCTTGGACAGGTCGGCAGCCTTGAGCTTGTCCTGCAGTTCGCTAATCTCAGCCTTGAGGCCATCAACCTCGCTCTTGGATGACTCGGTGAGAGATGCAACCTGCTCAGTAGCAGCGGCATGCTCCTTGGTCTTTTCCTCGAGGTCAGCAGCCTTCTGGTCAAGAGTATCCTTGGCCTCCTTGAGAGACGCCTGCAGCTCAGCAATGGTGCTGCGGAGACCCTCAATCTCCGCCTTGGACGCCTTGTCGGCATCAGCTTCCTGGCTGCTTCGGGTGGCAAGCTCGTCCGAGAGCTTGCTGTGTGCGGCCTCGAGCTCAGCGTGCTTGGACTTGAGTTCTTCCAGCTCAGAGATTTGCGTCTTGAGGACAGCGACCTCGGCGGTGAGCTCCTCAACCTTGGCTATTTGAGCATCGCGGTCGGCAGCAAGGGCATCGAGCTCAGCTTTGGCGACTGTGTCGGCATTCTGGCTCTTGAGCTCCTCAATCGTGGCAAGAGCCTCGGCGAGCTGCTTCTCGGTGCTGCTCTTTGCGGTGGTGGCCTCCTCGAGCTGTGTCTTGACGGCAGAAATTTCAGCCTCCTTGGCCTCAATGGCAGCCGAGTTGTCGGCCGACTCGGCGCCAGCTGATTGCTGGCTGTCGACCAGAGCCTGGAGCTTAGCAATGTCGGCCTTGTACGATTCGATCGAGCTCTCGAGGTCGGAAACGTTACCACGAAGAGTCTCAACCTCCTTGTTCATTTCCTCAACCTTGGCCTTGAACTCGGCCTCGCACTCTTCGCGGACAGTGTTCCTCTCCTTGGCCTTGGCCTCGCGTACTTGCTGTACGACGACGCTGACCATGTGCTCCTCGAGTTCCTTCTTGTCCTGCTGGAGGGTCTGCTCGCGCGACTCAAACTCTTTTTCGCGCTCCTTGTGGTCCTCCTCTAGACTGCGCACATGCTCGTCTTGTGTAGCAGCAACGCGCTGTGCCTCGTCGAGGTCATTTTCAGCACGTGCAAGCTTCCTCTTGAGCTTCGAGATTTGCGTCTCGAGGCTGTCGGAATCATCTGGTGAGGGAGCGGGAGAGTCTGCTGAGGGGGGAGAGCCATAGGTCAGCACAGTATTCGGAGGGGCGTTGCTTAATGGGGACGCTCTCGCGTGAAGGGAGAGAGGATAGCGGGGAATCGCTGGGAAGGTGTTATTGGGCAGGAGAGGGGGGGGGGAGTGAGGGGGAGGGGCCCGTGTGGGCATCACGTACCAGCTTCGTCTTCACTAAGGCGTGCCGGGGCCTCGCGGGGCGTCTCAGGCGGGGTATCTACGCCATTGTCGTGCAGTTTTGTACCATCTCTGCTTGGTGGTGTGGACTCGGTGGTGGTGACGGGGGGAGCAGCGGGCGCGGGCACGGGAGCACCTGCGCCGAAGAAGTAGTTGTATGCCCTCTTCATGCTGCTGGTTCGCTTGGGGATGCCCGGACGAACTGAGCTCGTCGACTTGCGTCCTCTTCGTTCTTCTTCGCTGGCTTCCTTGGCCAGTAACGGTGACGGGTATCAAGGGCTCTGGGTTCTTGTCCCGCCGGTTGCTCAGGGTCCTGGGTGGGAGCAGGCGTCTGCTGAACTTCTG